CGTCGTCGTCGTCCGCCTCGTCATCATAGTGCGCAGTCAAAGGGCGCGGGGGTGGATATGTGAAATATATAAAGGAGAGCGACTGCTACGTATATTACAGGGTCAGGGCTCGAAAGACGCATGTAAGATGCACCCCCTTAGCAACTCGAGCTTTTGATACAACAATCAAAGACATTTCCTGCCGAAGATTGATTGCGAGCAAACCGAGTTAAGCCCTACACGCATTCACCCACGTATACGCACACAAACTCGTGAGCACTGCTAGAAATGAGAGAGTATCTCTCTTTCTCTCTTCTGACTACTTCGACTGTGCTTAGGATGAGGCAGGGGGGGGGGTTTTCTCTCTCTTTGTATGTGTATATGGCTCAGCCACGCGACGGCACTGGGGTGGCTTCGCGAAGAAAAAGAGAGAGACAGAGAACGAGAGCGACTTTTTACAATAAATATGGTTTCCTTCCGGCGACGAGTGAGCGTACTTACACGTACACGAACCCACACCCACACAAATATACAATGAAGCATGGCGAGATTCTTCACTGCCAGCGCCCGCGCGCCACGCTCGAGAGTGTGCGTTTGTCAACTCGTGGCTATAATGCTGAAAGCTCTTTGCCATTGAAGAAACGCGCGCCAGCTGATTTCTTTAAATCGAGCGAAAGCTCGAAATTACTCTCCGTTACGATGGGAGAAAGAGGGCGAGAGGAAAGAGACTTTGATAATGAAAGAGAAAAATCATCTGTTCTATGATTAATCAACGAGATTCCAGCTGAATCGATAAATCCATATTCATGCTGATTATTGTTGATATTATTATTACCGTTAATATTTTCCTCGTGAATAATAATAAAAATGAAATTAATTTACCCTAAAACTTCTTTTTAAACAAAACCATAACGAAAAATATTATTTTTTGTAATGTAACTTTTGAGAAATTGAAAATTACCCAAAATATAAATGAAATATTATGATCAAAAAGAAATACTATATCTGGCACTCAGATGGGTTCATTTATTTTGAAATTTGACACAATATACATCTAATTTGTTTATGATTTAAAAATTTTTATCGAACCAAAATATAATTTTTTTGTATTTGCGTGTATATATCTTCACAATTACATTTTTTAAACTATTTTTCGAAGTTTTTTGAAGATTTTATGTATAATACAGTTGCAGCATGTGAGATTTTATGTTGATGACTCAAATGTTTTAAATGCCAAAGAAATGAAAAAGATTTAAGGTGCTCATTTACTATTCGATTTCGACATAATCCCATTAATTTGATCCAACACCGCTCAAAACGATCTCGATCGCTTCTGCAGATTATTAAGTCATCGATTACGACACAGTTTCCGACAAAAAAGTCACGTGTCAACTCATGACTGAAGTATAGTTTTTTTTCACGTCACGCGTTGTCGCACAACCAAAACCGAGTCATCCTTTCATTATTCATTCATCGGGAATCCGCAAGTACGGTAAAATGAGTTCAGGAAAAAAATTGCAAAATTCAGTTAAGATTCCTTTAAAAGCCAAGCGCAGAGCCGAGCATCGGCATTGGACAAGTTGCGAAGATATTTGCCAGAATTTATATTCGAAAGCGAGAGAGAGGGAGAGAAAGTGAGCGAAGTAGCAAGGTGCCGACAGGCCATTAATCAAAGGCACGAGCGAAGCCAACGTCGCTACGGGTAGACCCTCTGTCTCTCTCTCCTTCTTTCTCTTTACGTATACTGCAGAGGGATACTCGTTGTGAAATTAGCAAAAGTGAAAAGTACAAAGACGGCCCGTGCGCTCACTCGACAAACCCCTGAGGGAGCTTAAGATGTGGAATATTTAAAACGTGCGCCTCTGGCTGCACTGTTGGGAGAAGGGGGAGGGGGCGTGTGTATAAGTTGTTGGGCGCAACGCGGCACACGGGCGCGCGAAAGAGAGACAAGCGGGCGATTATTCGGAAGGAAACTTATGCTATCGATGAACGAATACTTTCAAGTTATTTATGTGCGTCGCGTGTAATACACGTACAAGGCTCGAATGTGGCCGATTATTAGTGAAATTGAATGTCTACAACATTTTTTTGTACTGCTTGCCTTAAAGTTAAATTTTATTATTTAAAAACCGTGCTTTGACTTATACAATTAGTTTTACTTTGCCACTTGCAGTTTTACAAATTAAGTTACTCGCCATCTAGTGGTGGAAGCTTAAATTTTAGAGTGTTTAAGGCCATATTTAAAATATTTGAAAACTGGTGTAAACGGAATAATAAAATTGTTATTTTCAATATAATTAGTACAAAAAAATCGTCAAAAGCAGGCCAATTAATAGTAATATATTTTAGATCGTTTCAAATGGTAATTGTTTTGTTATTCGCCCTTTTTTACTGGTGAACATTTTTACTAGAATACTAAATGTATTACAAATACCTATCTTTGCCCACAGCGATTTGAGGAAAAAGCAAGCTTTTATTGGAAATTTACTAAACATTCAAAAAAAAAATTCTCTAGCACAATTTAATATTTAATCACTTAAAATAGTATATTTTGTAACAAGTGCGCGAAGCAGTTGACTCACCCAGGAGTTGTTTTCACCCGAGCGTAGCGAGGGTGCAAAGACTCCTGGGTGAGTCAACTTCCTCGCGGACTAGTTGCAAACGATATTTTTTAACTCTGCTTGCAAGAAACTAGGGTTTTCTGACGCTTTAAGGTTAGAAAGCCCGTGTTTCGCGCACGCAGTGTTAAAAAATAGATTTATTCCGATGTTTTTCCACATTTTTCGATAATTTGGGATTTTTCATAGCTCTTAGATATCTTAAATAAACTTTACTACTTTTTTAATGATGAAAGTCTAGATCGAACTTTGAACAATTTTTCAGTCATTTGATGTCACAGATAATCGAGTAAATTCGATTTTTATTATTCTACAAATTTTGCCTATAAAAACTCTTTAAAATCATGAAAAGGGATCGAAGAAACCTTGTAACGCTTCCCACGTCACAAATAGAGACTTGTATCTATGAATGAAAAGTAAAGCGCATATATACGTCGAACTGTCCGCGTAGCAGTTCAGCTGTTTACCCAGCGATTAAGTCATTATCTCTTTGAAACAGTCGGGCGCAGAAAGCGATTGGCTCTCGATTTCACGGATCGCGCGCGCACCGCACGAGCGTATTAACCCGTCGATCGTTTCATTCGAGCTTACAGAATATGCACACACACATACACACACATACACCAGCGCTCATACAGATCGGTCGGAATTGTCGCTCGTATAGTCGGCAATTACATTATACGTACGAGAGTATATAATATACACGTATATACATAGGCACGGTTAAATATCCACAACGATTTTCCGCTGGCCAGAAGGGATTATTTATTTAAAAATAAGTTTGTCGTTTGCCGTGGAGGAAGGATAGAGAACGAGCGAGAGAGAGAGAGAAAGATCCGCAGGGCTGTAGTAGTCTGAAAGGGATAAAACAGCTAGACGGGAAAGCCGGAGCGTATATAGCCTCGCTCTCGTTCTCTCTCTCTCTCTCGAGCTAGGAACGTCGAAAACGAGCTCGGAGTTGGGTGATGGCGTGTACCGGGGGGAGTGCGACACCTCGGCGCCAAACTCACCCTCTCCCGAGAGCCAGAGAGAGCGAGAGAGAGAGAGACTCTGCAGACTCTTCTCTCTCTCTACTCTGCCAACCCTCCTACTGCTATCCAGGCTCCAACTTCTCTTGAACTCGCATACACACACACACGCATACACGTGCACATAGAGAGAGAGAGAGAGAGAGAGAGAGAGAGAGACGTTGAGAGAAGCGCGCGCGTTCGCAGCCAAGCCATTTCATCCTTTACCCATCTCACCAGCCCACCTCCGTCTCTGCGCGGCTCTGCCTTTGCAGCGAGAGCTGCTGCTGCTGCTTCTGCTCTCGTATACCCAGGCTACTGCTATCTCTGTGCCAGCAAGAGAGAGAGAGAGAAAGAGAGAACTCGAGTCTACCTAAAACCCCTTCCCACTCGAGCGGCAGCAGCAGCATCCGACAACTTCTCTCTAGCGCACATAGGGCCAGAGAGTTGGCTAGAGGTATAACGGAAAAGCAGCAGCAGCGCAGAGCACCAGCAACAGCTCCAACTATCTCCGAAATGATCCCCTACATTCTGGCAGGCTATATCCTCTCTCTCTCTCTCGCTCGCTCTTGCTCGCAAAATAAAAGATTCCCGAGAGCTAGCGTGTGCTTCTGCCTCTGCCTCTGCTGCCGCTGCTGCTACTGCTACTGGCGGCACAACCTTTTTCCCTTATACTTTCTATCTTCTTTCGACTCTCCTCCTTTTTTTTCCTCGCTCTCGCTTCACGAATGTTGCGTACGAGCTACGAATTGCGAACAACACAGGACTGATGCCTCCAACTTCTACTTCTTTTCTTCCCTGGGGTATGATTTTGGCTTTTCCTATTCTCCACCGGTCTGTATGTGTGTATATCTCGTTCTATACACCCACACCCCGGCCTCGTACATGCGTGCTACGGATCTAGGTGTACGTGGAGCGACTTGCACAAGGCTCGAATTTTTTTTCTCATCTCCGACTTCTGTACTTCTCTCTCTGCCACTGCTCCTGCCGCTGCTGCTGCTGCTGCTGCGGGCGATCGATATTATTCTTTATGAAATTGCTTTGCAAGAAAGATAAACGTGGAACAAGGACGTATAAAGGAAATTGGAAGAAAATGAACTAAACACAGCAGCTTTTATGTTTACAGTACTTAATTCGTATATTATCATTTCGATTTTCCAAGGTTTTTCCACTTTAAATACAATTTTTTTGTGTATTTTCGTCGTGTTTATGTATATATGCTTTAACGTGCTTGTTTGTTTTTATGTTCACTTAGGCTAGTCCCAGCGTGCTGCAAGCTCGATTACAACATTATCGCTTACGTCGAGTGTTGTTAAAAATTTTACATTATACAAGAAATACAACGTAAGACGACTATATCCAGCTTCGTCTTTTTGCTTCGATTTTTTTTTTTACTGAAAACTATTTATATTTATTTATTCGTTCATTCATATATATAATATACATTTATATCTATATAATAATATACATCTATAGAAATGTCAATAAATCATTAACTAAGCGCTCGCTATTCAATATAATAAATAAATCACTTTAATTTCATCGATAAAGAAGCAAACAATGATAATGGAAACAAAGTTTGTTTACGTGTAAGCGTGTGGCGGTGCTTTTTCGTCTGCCTAGGGTTTCTTATCATGATTAACGTCGTTATCGTTAGTATCACCGGCGACGGCGGTGGCTATATTACAAATATTACTATTTACAAGTGCCTCGATGCTGAAGCCTCTCGATACCGCTGCTGCGACTGCTGCTTGTTGTTGTTGTTGTTGTGTCTGCGAAGCTCGACCTCATGACTCGTGACTGGCGTTATTGAGGGCCGCAGGACTCGGCGACATGGACGGCGCCCTGAGCCGCTCCGTCAGCGCCAGCATGACTTGGCAGTGCATCTGCTGAATAGTCGCCAGGAGATTGAGATTCGTGTCGATCAGACCTGTGGCCGGCGAGTAATTCTCGTCCTCGGGGTCACCGGGCGACTGTTTGGGCAGTGGCAGCTGGTGCTGTGGCTGCTGAAGCTCCTTTTTGATCATCAAAGGTGCCAGCAGAGGATTGTTGCTGATGTAGGCGGCGGCGCAGTCGAGCGGCAGCGAGCATTTCAGCTGCGGATGGCCCGTCCACTTGGGCACGTTGTTCGTCGTCGAGTGGGTGGTTGGCGAGCAGTTGGTCGTCGTCGCCGTCGTCGTGATCAGAGCTTGTCGTTCGGAGCACGCTAGATGTTGCTGTTGTTGTTGTTGCTGTTGGTGATAAGTCGTGGCCGCCATTGCCATGGTCGAGGTAGCCGGCACGACGACACCACCGTGGCGATGATTATTGCGATTGTTATTGCTACCGACTGGATCTTTGCGCAGCAGATTCGTTATGCTGAGGGGATTGTACTTCTCGTCGCGCACGACTCGGGCGTTGTCTTTGGCGACGGCGGCGTTGAGCGTGTCTTGCGACGAAACCGGCGTGCACGTGCTCATCGGCATGGGTGGGGATCTCGCGGCGCCGGAGATTTGCATCGACGACATCGACGTCGTCGTCGTAATCATGGGACTCTTTGGCTTTTGTTCTTGGCTGTTGCAGTCGTTGTTATTGCTTTGATCGCCTGGATGACTCGCTTCTTTGGGCCTGTTGTCGCTCGCACAGGCCTCCATCGGCTCGCTAGCCGAGCTGTTGTTGCTGTTACTGCTGCTACTGCTGACGATGGCAGTGGCCGCCTTGGGACTAGATGGTGTCGTCTCCGTTGGAGCGGGAGGAGGCTGCATCATCGTCGAAGCTTGAGACTGTGACTGTTGTGGCTGTTGCTGTTGTTGTTGCTGCTGCTGCTGCTGCTGCTGTTGTTGTTGCTGCGGCGGCTGCTGCGGCGGCGCCATTGGCGATGAGGCCAACGGTGGCGTCGATGCGGGCGTCGGCGTATTTGGCTTACTGCTGTTGCTGTTTTGATTTGCGCCATTCGCGGGCACCTGGAGGCTGCTCGTCGGGCTCGGTGTTCTGGGTCTGCGCTGACACTCGGTGCAGCCGAGCAAAAATCGCGTGACAGCTTCGCGTGGCAAAAACGCATACGTCTCGGTGATCTGTAACAGGTAAGCAAAAACAAAAAAAACCATGAGCTTTCGAGTCAAGCTTTTGCGCATAATTTACGAGATGATACCTATATTATAATGCTTTTAAGAAAGAGAGAGAGAGAGGGAGAACTGGACGACTGGCGTAGCGAGCTAAGTAAGCGCGAGGAAAAGTGGCAAACGAGCGAGCGCCTCTACATGTATACATTGGCAACATAGAGCGTATAATACAGTCTCAAAGTGTAGGCAGTGCTGCAGGTAATTCGATGAGATTTATGCGCCGCTTCGCGCGCGGAATGGAGGAAACGGCTCTTGCTTTCCTCTGCGAAGCGTGACTCTGCTTTACTACAACTACTACCACTCTCCCTAGCATTGCTCGTTCGTAAGTGTGTACGTATATATTTGTATATAGGTATAGCGCGCGGGTGTATACAAATTTAAACGTGACTCGCGACGCGAAGCGCAAAGTTTAAATCCGAATAACTGAGTGGATGAGCTGCGCGACGGGGCCACACGATATATACCGTATACACATAGTCTGTCCCGTCTGTCTGTTAACGCGCTTAAAAAAGACTACTTTCACTCGGTATATGCCGTACCTATAGAGGGCGAGAGAGATAGAGAGAGCTGTTAATCCGCCTTACGTAGCGCAAGTAGTAACGCGTCTATTTGGTCAGACGCCAAAACAGCAGCGCGCGCTTGCATATCGCGCGTCGTTTCCTCTCAACTGCCGTATAAGCGCGTTTTATTATACTGCACATAAGACAGCTGCTGCTGCTGCTGCTGCCTGCATGGACGGGACATGTATCTGATGCAAAGGACTACGAATCAATGTCCGCTCTCGTTGTAATTCCAACAAATATACGTTAGCCGCTTTATACACTGCATCGCTCTAACTCGTCCGTCATGGCCGCATGTATTATAGATATATATACCAGGCTCCGATGAATCGTTGCATATTTTGCATTGCAAATTCACCACTCGGTCGGTCGGTCGGTCGCTCTCGCTTACGAGATGGAGATTAGCATCGAGCGACGCTGTGGCGTATCGGCCATTGCAGCAGTAGCTCTATCTTTCTCTCTCACTCACGCGGCGTATGCATACACAATATATAGGCTCTGAAGAGTCTCAAGGGATCTCTCGCTGGGCTATCTCTCTCTCTCTCTCACTCCGCGCCTGTGTATCTGCGAGAGTATCTGCGTGTTGCACAGCTGCAAGATAGATAGAGAGAGAGAGAGAGACAACACATTCACATCGCCATACGTTTATATACGTGAGAGCTGCACGGTTCAATGCTCGAGAGCAAAGCTTCACGCGTACAACGCGCTCTTGTCTATGTACGTATATAAGAAGCCAATATACATGTATATTGCATTTAAACGCGTGAGTATGTGTGTGCGCAGTCGTGGGTGTGTAGATGAGTACGTGAGCGCGCGAGTAAGCAGTAACGCGTGCAACAAGTGTCCTGAGATTTTGAATCACAAGCAGATCGCGTCAGTCGAGTCATATATATTGTATAGCTATATATACGCAGCGAGCAAACGCGGCCGCGTGTACTCGGCCTTTGGAGAGACGTATAAAGCCGAACTACTGGTTTGTATACTGGAAAGCAAGTGGCTCGCCTCGGCGAATACCTATACGTATAAAAGAGAGAGAGAGAGAGAGAGCAGATAAGCGAGCGAGAGAATGCAGCCACGAAATAAACGAATGATCGAACAAAATGAAAACAAGCTAAATTGAGACTTAAGATATTCCACCGTTCGCTTTCTTGCTCTCGGCTCGCTTCATCTCTCGCAGATACATTCATACGCACGCTAAAATATTTTACGCTCGATTCGCGGATCTTACTCTTTTTTGCCTCGTTTCACTAATTGCCTTGCAAATCGGAGAACGAAGGAATGAAATGAAAAAAAAAACAACAAAAGTAATAAGGAAAAAAGTTTTACTTACGGTTCTGTAGGTACGTTTCTGTCCGGCGTGTTTTCCGGGTCTGCCCTCGAGGTCGACGTGTACCGCGTGGATGATGTCGAAGAAATTCTCCACGATGGCCACCTTTTTGTAAACCCTGCCAGGTGGTACTGTGCCCTCCGCTCCATTCAAGTTCTGTAAAACATATCAAAATGGACAATCGATTAGTAAAATTTTAAATGTACTCATTTTTTTTCACTTTCGCATAATAATAGTTGCATTGATATTTTTAGATTTTGAGCTCGATAGCCGGGATTCATGGCGGGTTACACAAGGGTGAAGATGTAATGCTCGATCAACGCCACCTGTCTAAGGGTGCCTCAAACACGAGCTTTCGTAATTCGTACCAAGGGTAAGCGTCGGTACACATGCGGGTTTACATCGATGCAAGCATTCGCGTTACCGACATGAAATTCGCGCAGTGTGATTCCCTGCTTCCAGCGCTCGACGATCGAGTCGCTGCAACAGCAGCAGCCCTACGTTACCGACGCTGGAAAACTATCTACTGCAGTGTGCATTACGGTGTACTCCGCAAGCCGTCGTAGAGATTGCGCGACGAGCATCCGTACGGGAGGATCGGGAGGACATATATTGCACCAGCTGCTATACCACTGCTAATATACGTGGAAATCTACACAACAAGCTGCTGCTGTTGCAGCTGGTGAACTTGCAACATCGGCAAGTTACTCGCTCTCTCTCGTATAAACGTGTGGGACATGTATCTAATTCGCTCCTACCTCTGTCGCTCTCTTTCTCACACACGCAGGTGTGACATCTCTCTCGAAATTCATTGTCAAGCCGAGATTAGCAGCTTTTCCGAGCTTTTGTCTCGCGTGCGATCGATTCTCATCGTCGCCATATCACGCACAGGCACCATATATTACGTGTGCTCTTCGGGACGGGCTGCTAGCTTGTATCATTTGTACGAATTGCGAAGCTGTCTATAAATAAGGCCGTGCTTTTTTCGTGTTTGTTAATCGTAGCCTCGAGGTTCTTTGCTCGCGCGAAGCTTCCGATACGCTCGTAAAGTAGTAGTGGCCCGCGCCGGTGCAAAGCGTCGGAGGGGGCATCGTCTCTTCTATCTTCGCTTCTCTCTCTCTCTTCTCTCACTCTTTCGTACACAATGAAACAGCAAACGAAGCAAGTTTTCTGAACTTGCTGCTGCTCGTGAAATTTACCAAGCAGGAGCAGCAGCGGCAGGCAGTCAGCTAGTCTGTAGAAAATCCAACTTAGCTATCCTCTTGGCTATACAGCGCTAGGCGGGCTCTCGTTCCTCTACACGCCAAGAGATCCTAAGCGAACCGAAAGCTGCGCGGCGCAAAGTTTAAACCCGTTTCCCGCATCTCTCTCTCTCTTACTCTCTGCTACTACTCGGGGCAAAGTCAGCACCTATATATACACACACATACACTTGCCGCATATATATAAATGCACGCGCGGCTGCGGCAGTGGCAGAGCAGAGAGCTAGTTTTAAGGTCCGCTATAGGTATACGGCATACGTTGTAGTTATATACACACAAGGATCTCGCGAGCCGACGAGAGCTGCTTGCGAGATACAGGCTACAGGTATACGTATACAGCAAGCAGGAGTATACGGCCAAGTGCTCAGCTCGTCGTATGTGCAGTGAAAGCGTCAGTAGTGGTATATGGCAGTATAGCAGCAGCAGCAGTACGCGAGACTTAACTTTACGACAGACGCGCGCGCGAGAGTCTTTGCGAACAGCGCCGAGGAAGTAAAGAAGGAGACGCCGCTGCCGTGCGCTGCATGCCGTATATTAAAGGAGCTCGACGACTCCGGTGTGGCGAAATCTAAGCTTCCTGCCTGCCTGCGAGGTTTATATACGTATGAGTGTGCACGATGTGCGTGTGTTCCATACAGAACAGGCAGCCTATATCTATACGGGATATGGGATATAACAATTCGTATAAGCTTTCGACCGACGGCCCGCAACGGCTATTAATCCATTATTATGTATTATAATAATACAAAACAGGCTGCGCGCCTGTTGGATGTGGCTGTAAATATAAGCAGCGCATGCGCGACATTATTGTATTTCCACTAGAAGTGCACGCACACTGCACTGCCAAAGACAGAGAGCAGCGGTACTTTGAGAAAGAGAAAGAGAGAGAGAGAGAGAGCAAGAGACGATGCGAATTGGTGAACACCTGTTGAAGGGCTTATAAGAGACTGCGAGCTGTGTGTACATCGCCGGGACAGAGAAGGCCAAGAGCGAGAGAGGAAGTTGGGCTTCGAATGGCGCACTCCAGTAATACTGCTGCGAGTAAGTACGAGAGAGTGAGAGAGAAAGAGGAAACACAGGGAACGATCGTAGCCGTTCGCTCGTCCGCCCGCCCGTCTCTCCGGGCTGCTGCTGCTGCTACTACTGCTGCCTGCCACTGCTTGCTCTTTGATTAGGGGATTGTGGTCAAAGGCGTGCAACACGCGCAGGCACACATCCGATCGTTCGCCGCCGACGTCGCTCACTCCTCGCAATTCTCTCTCTCTCTCTCTCTCTCTTACTCCGCTCCGAGCTGCTGCTACCTACTGCCCGCTCCGGCCCATTATATTATATGTGCAGCTATAGCTATGTGGCGTGCTTGCATATAGCAGTAGCAGTAGCTGAGTACGGCCAACACGCACACACGAGACGAGGACACGACGCGCAGCCGTCCGAGCGAGACGCGGCGACATAGCTGCTGCTGCTGCTGCTTCTAGCAGTGCCCCGCACACGATATCTGCTTACACGAATCGCAGTATGTATGCTGCACTCCGCACACGCACGCATGCACGCGGATGCGCTTCATTTTCCTTTGATTTTCACGCTGTAATGACTCGGGGGCTTGCGGTTACGTCGTACAATATATAGCACGTATAATGCAAAGCACTATATGCCCGCGCAGTGATCATCGAGCCACCACCACCACCACCACCGCTTGACAAGTCAGAGCAACGCGGCCTGGCGCAATTCACGACCACGATGTCCGACACACGTACACGGGTCAGCGCTGCTGCTCGCCGAAGTATCGCGTCTATTGGGAGCGAAAAATAACATGCCACATGCACGTATCTCGTCGCAATTGAACATACCTTGCACTAAGTTGGTGGCGTAAGGTACGCTTACCAGCGAAATCATGCTTTATTTACAATCCACGACACGAAGATATTCCATTCGATTAAAGTGGTAACAATGGCCCTGATCGATTTTTCAATGACCTCTCCCCATCAAGTTTATTCAAAATAAAGAAGAAATAGCCAAATTAAATTCCAAGAAAAAATGCATCTCCTTCGAGAGTTTTTATCTGCGTCTTATCCGATCCGATCGAATATAAAATATCCTCATGTCTTGCTATCCGAATAAGGCATGTTTTTGCGCTAGGGCAACGATATCTCCTGCATATAATATAACTCGTATACATCATCATACGTATACGTTATATGCGACGAGTACGTCATCGCGACTTGGTCCCGTGTTATTTTTTCTCTCCTCTTTTTCGAGTCGTTTCTTTGTACGCAGCTCGACGTATATTTATTGTATAAATGGTATAGGAGAAGAAGCCGCTCGCGCGGGATGTATACGCTCGCGGGCGATGCAATTGCGCGCCGCTGCACCGCCGCCGCCGCCGCCGCAGCGATGCTCGATCGCGATAATATAATACGCGAGCGTGAGTTGCGTACAGGATCGCGACTGTATAGCTATACAGTGCCGCAGTACCGCACAGTGCACATTGCACTGCGCGAGCGGAGAAGCGAGCGAGCGAGAGAGAGAGGGAGGCGCGACAAATGCTCGGATCGGCCCCAGCAGGCAGCAGCAGTCGATGAAGCGGGCGCCGCGTAACCTCCGGCGACAGCCTCGCGCGCGACGTATTTATGCCTCTCGGCTGCAGTAGCGAGCGGCATGTCTAACGAGCTCTCTCACTCTCTCTCTCTCTCCCTCTTATATAGCAGCTCTCCTGCCTCCCATATAATGCCGCGACGCCGTTGTGTACGCGAATTTTAAATACATCCGCGAGGCTGGAATACGTATACGCGCTCTTATGTGCGCGCCTGCGTTACGTATCGATCGGGCCGTATACGACTACAATGTTGTGCTGCAGCAGCGGAGAAAAGAGCGACGAATTCATGCACGTAATAGCGCATATAGGACGCTATTTTATGTATGCTACTGCTGCTGCGTGGGTCGCGTGCGATAAGCAGCGGCAGTGGCACGAGCTAATCAACGATTAACGCGCAGGGAGCTATGTGTATGTGCTAACGCCGTAAAAGCTGCTGTGTGTCGGTGTAGTAGCAGCGGCTGCACAGGACGGGGCGATGGAGAATCGATCTGCGTGCCGCACTCTCTCGAGCTGGGAGCTCCGAATAGCCGAGAAGCTCTCTTCTCTCTCTCTTTCGAGCGGCGATCGATAAAGAGATCGAAAAAGTGAGAAAGCCAGATAAAGCCTTTGGCCTCGGCTGTTGCAGCTATTGCCTCCCGCTGAACGTATACACGTATATATATAAAAGAGAACGATCCTGCGCTCATGCTTGCCTCGGCAGTGCTGGAGGTGGTGGTGGTAGTAGCGCAATGCAGACCGTGCTCATCGCAAGATACGATAAGTAGAAAGTACAGCCCGCAGCAGGATCGTCGTAGCTCTCTCATGCTATGTAGGTAGTAGCTTCTGCTGCTGCTGCTGCAGCTCGTCGCGCACTCGTGGTCGTCGGCAGTTCGCATTAGCGAGATTTACGGCTTTGCGCCAGGCGTGCAGATTATACACGGAGATTCCTCTTCCGGGCCGCCGCCGCCGCCGTCACCGCCACTACTACTACACTGCAGGCTCATGCTCTCTCTCCTCCTACTCCGACTTCTTTTTCTTACTTCTTATTCTCTTCTTTTTATCCTTTTGCTTCTTTCGCTCACTTTTGTCGTCTATATATACGTACGGACGAGCAGCTAGAGAGATACCTATATACAAGATATGTGTGTGTGCGATGCACACGGAGCAAGCCCAACACGATAAAGATCTCCCTCTCTCTCTCTCTTTCTCTCTTTGCTGCTTTTCTTTCTCTCTTTCTTCTTCCTTTGCTACTCTCCTCGCCACTTTGTCCATCTGCTGCTGTTGCTGCTGACTTTGCTGACTCTCTGGTTTTATCGGCACTG